CACACACACACACACACACACACACACACACACACACACACGCTGAGCAGAGACCAGCACGCGACCTGAGGGACTCTTCTCTCCTCGCGCCACGCTGCTTTGATCTGATTTGATTTTGATTTAAAGTGGACACATCACAGACAGGGTGAGTAGCTGGTGACTGTTTATTAATATAGCTCCTGGTTGTTTGTGTTACCGAGTGTTAAAGTGGAAACTAAAACAACAAGTAGAGCACAGTTTTACTCCTGAGAAACTTCCTGTAGAAACCTTCAAAATAATACTGCTTAGTGTGGCTGAGGGAGCTAAAGGCCAAAGAAGTTGAGGGCACATTTACACAGTGTAAACAAGAAATGTCAATATAAGAAGACTTAAGTAGGAGAGCATGTTTGTACAAAGTACTGCTAACACCAAAGTGTCTAAAATCGTGGACAAACGCTGCTTAAACAACTGGAAACAACAAAGCTAGCCTAAATGAACTTTGTTCAGACTTTTCCTTTCCTACAAGGAGCTAATATTCTTTGCTGTATTGTTCCACAAATATTTCACACATTTCAGAATGTAATTCAACCAAATATTAAATCAAACATTATAAAATATATGGGCGGGGACAAACATTTAAACAAACAGTGCAACAACTAAACTGCAGCTACAGTGCCAGCTATGAGCTGATGACCTGTCTTTTATTTTGAAGTTCCTGCTAATACTTTCAACTTTTCCATGTCATATGACCTAATCTCTCACAGACATCAGTTCCTCCTGCCAGCTCCACACAAAGTGTCCAACCTCTCAACAGTAAGCCCACCTTAGAGACTGAACTTTCGGGGAGAGTTTCTCTTGTCCCTTCACTTTCAACTCCCAGAATGCAGATGAAAGTCATGTCTAGCCATATGTCCTTTGAAACGAGCAGTACGGTTTCATGAACAGCTCGGTTGCAGCTGGGTCAGTGTCAGGAGCTATTTACGTTGACATGCCATTCATCCAGGCTAAAAATAAACATACACATCCACTGGCCCTTTCGAAATGTCATTGCAAACAATCCACCACAATCAGCACAAACTACACAAACAGCAGCTGAATTCTTGTTTCAGACATGACACCTTATTCCATTTGTAAGTGTTCAAATTCATTTTTCGTTGCAGTTTTCTCCCTGAGTGCTGCCGTCACTCATCAGGCTCCTGTTAAACATGTCGTCATCATATGCTGCTGCCATTTCATCCCTCATCACAGCCAGCACTTTTAATTCACCCATCAAACCCAGACCTCACCCCTCCCCAGACACATCAGGGAGTCCTGAACCTTGCCCCCAGCCCCACAAATCGCCTCACCACCCTCCAGCTGTACAGATACACCCTCATTCATCTGAGCCTCCGGTGTCGGACGAGGAGCAACAGGAGAATCCTGCAGATTATGGCATAGGTAGGCAGCGCCACAGCGTCAAACACCAACACTCTGCCTGAGATCTCTCTTCGTTGATGCAGGTGGCACATTGTGTTGCAGGTGGTTACTACCTGGTTGAGATCGGAGAGATTTTTGTTGGCCGTTATCAAGTGGTCAGAAAGTTGGGATGGGGTCACTTCTCTACTGTGTGGCTCTGCTGGGATATGGAGTAAGTGCAGGTTTTACCTTTTAACTTGTCATAAATAAGATAATAACAGTGTTGTTATGATGTCATATTACATTAACATAATGGCTCACTACCATAATTGTGTGCATGCAGGAGAAGGCATTTTGTGGCTCTGAAGGTGGTGAAGAGTGCTCAAATCTACACAGAGACGGCACTGGATGAGATCAAACTTCTGAAATGTGTCAGTGGGACCACATGGATTTTCTTTCTTTGATAAAATTTGCAAAGTCTTGGGGTACACATTTAGTGAACCTAACGAGTGTTATAAATGCATGAGTGTCTACATAAAGAGTAAGTTTAGTCTATTCACAGTGATTATTTATTTATTATGCCAACACTAACACAACCAACATCTGTGTTTTATTATATTTGTTGAATCAAAATAGCTGCCAGATTATGATCATTTGCTCACTTTGTGATTGTCCATTGTACTTTTTGTTGATATTGAGATATTTTCAACATGCCATCATCAGGTGAGGGACAGTGACCCCAAAGATCCTAAACGAGAAAGAATCGTGCACCTTATCGATGACTTCAGGATCTCTGGAGCCAATGGTGAGCGTATCCTTCACAGAGAATCTGTCCCAGTGTCATTATTTATGAACCCCGTGGTGCAGGTATGCTTTTCTATCAAGTTGTTTTTTACCCTTCTGTGGTAATATGTGGATCAGTGTCAGCGTGTTTAAGTTCCCCAAATACAGAAGAAACTCTGAACCAAGTGTACAATATGAAACAAGGTCCTTAACTGCTCACCAGATGTGTGCATGGTTCTGGAGGTTCTTGGCCACCAGCTGCTGAGGTGGATCATCAAATCCAACTACACTGGGCTCCCGCTGCCCTGCGTTAAGAGCATCCTCAGACAGGTGCTGTACAAACCTTTACTCTATCTTTAAAGAGACATATTATGCTCATGTTCAGGCTCCTAATCTAAATTTGTATTATGGAGAAATACTTACATGCTCTAATAATCGTAAAACATCACTTTCCTCATATTCTACTCTCCTGCTTAAGTCTTCTATATCATACTCATATTTTCAGTCTCCCCTCTGAAAAAGTCTGGCTTTGTTAGGGGGCGTGTCAGACTAGCAGCTAGGCGTGCATTATGGCGATGTGAGCCTTCACGACATGACATCAGCTCCCTCTGCCTTGAGCTTTAAGCGTTTTAACTTTGCAGACGACTTACATACAAAAACCTTTATACACACTAGAGGAAAGGGAAAAGTTGAAAAAGCATAACCTGTCTCCTTTCAATTATTCTCCATATCTTTCACCATGATTGGAATCTTTTTGTGAACAGATCAGCTTCTATTTTTACTCCTCCTTGACAATGACAGTGCCTACATTTTCCTCCTTTATCACAGGTTCTGCAGGGTTTAGATTACTTGCACACTAAATGCAAGATTATCCACACAGACATCAAGCCAGAAAACATCCTCCTGAGGGTGGATGATGTTTTCATTCAGAAACTGGCGTCCAACACCAAGCTATGGCAGCTGCCAGTGTCCTCTGCTATCACAAGCTCCCCAGGTTAGTGATGCTATGTTAGGCTATAGTGCCCTTTTTGTTTTGGTTGAATTATAAATATGTTGAATTTTTCATGTTTTTGTATTTTAATATTCTGTGCTTTTTTCCCCCTTTGTGGCGATTTTATTTTCTGCCAGTAAACAGAGGCCTCAGGGAAAAGACGGTGTGTAGCCTGAAAATATGATATTTTTTTCATCATTTAACTATTTTAATGCTTGACGTTTTGTTTCTTACAATCAAATTATAATTTGTGGCTTCCTGCTGTGACTTCTTAAGAGTTTGTCCAACTTTTTGGGGAAGCTGACGGGAGTTTTCCACACTCTTGGGGAGTGGGTAAGATAGATGTTGTGTTTTTGAACCTGAGCTTCTTAACTGCATCTTGACAGCCACTAAAGCCTGGAACACACTAGACGACATATCAGATTGTGAAAAGGGAAGGGAACCAGACATTTATCTGTACAATTACCTTTGGGGCACATAGTATCTAACACAGATATTCTGCTGAACTGTTCTTTCATCACACATTGACACTAAAGAGAGAGAGAACATCCCAGAGCAATATTGTACACTTTACAACAGCACATTGGTGCTGTGTTTACAGAAAGCAGCTCCTGTTGGAGTCAAAACAAATAAAGAGCAGAAACAAGCAATACTTTTTATTTTATATATTCTTACTGAACAGCTATTGATACAGTATCTGTTTCTATCAAAATGACATTCCAGAGATAGAGATACTGAAATAGTCTGAACATAAACGATGCATGTCTCCATGTTTTCTCATGCTTGTGTTGAATATGCATGTGAAAACACTTGCTTGCTCTTTTGTCAGGTTACACCAACTGGCTCCTGTATAGTTATGTGAACGGGGCAATATAGCCACTAGACTGCACTTTACTGCTTTACAACAATTAAAAAAGATACAAATCTTAGTGTTAAGATGTTCCTTTTTTATTTCATGTAAAGCTATGTGGCTAATTGTAACTACAGAATAAAAAGATGAAAATGTATGAAGAGACTTCATGGCACTAACATAAGATTTTAGGATTCAGTCTGTGTGTCTATAGAACATGAAAAATGAAAGCAGAAAGACAGGTGAGTGTGTGCGTCTCGCCGGGCATTGCGCACCGCTGCTCGGCCAGTGGAGCCTGTGCACTCCACCTGGCTCTCTGGCCAGAGCGACATGGAGAGAGAAAGACGGAAGGAAAAAGAGAGAGGGATCAGACTGAGAGACACGGTGAAGTTGACGGGGCAGGCACTGGAATCTCTGGAACGCTGGAAAAATAAATACGAGTGAGTGGGGAGGAGCGCTCGCTCCGTGTGCGTCTAGCCGGGCACTGCGCACCGGAGCTCGGGCTATGGAGCCCGTGCACGCAGCCTGGCTTCCACTCGGGGAGTTGAGTGTAGGGTTCGCCTGCTCCGTGTCTAGCCGGACAGATAGACATATGTTATGTATTTTATCGCGGGCCAGATATAATTGTACCACGGGCCGGAAGAGTTTGACATCTCTGCTGTGGAGCATTGCTGTCTGTTTGAGTGTGTTTTTACATACTACCACAAGGGGGTGCCAAATTCAAAGTTTAAAGTAGCTTTAAGTTGCATGATTTTCTGCACAGGCATGAAGTTGCTGTGATGATTCATTTATTCATTCATTGGTTCATCGTTTTTTAATTCAATGCTTATTTCTTATTGTTTCCCTCAACTGAATGAATGCGTCCTGCAGTCTAACAAGGTCTCCAGGAACCCGATGAACCGACTGACGAGGAAAGACAGGAGTCGACGCGGACAGGATAGCAAATCTGATCTCAAGCACAATGACAAACCTCATGTGACATTTACTGATGTCACGCCTCCCTCCAGCACCTACAGCTCCACCTGCCAGTCTAAGCTCTCAGGTCCTAACCTCACATTAAGGAGGCAGACCTTGCTGCTGGAGGACGGACTGGACTTGGATCCATTTAGCCACAGAGACTCCATCTGCTCGTGGCCAGACCTAAAAACAGATGCTCCTGTCTCTGGCTCCAGGTCAGCGTTGTTCCGTCAGACTGCTGACAAAGAGCCACCTCCACCTTCATCATCCTCCCCCTGTGGTTCGTCTCACAACATTTGTATTGTTGTTTTGTCCCACTAAACTATCATTTGCATGAATATGATGGAGGATGTTTATCTACAGATCCTGTTAAAGGTACAGTGTGTAGAATTTAGTAGTGAAATTGCATGTTGCAGCTGAATGCCCCTCATCTCACCCTCCCCTTCCAAACATGACAGAGAACCTGTGTTCGCCTTCAGTTGTCATAAAAACTCAAAAGGTGTTTAGTTTGTCCAGTCTGATGGACTGTAAAAAACATGGCCGCCTCCACAGAGAGGACCCCCTCGATGTAAATATAAAGTATTTAAATATAAAGGGCCCCTTCAAGGGTAAAGAAAACTACAAGTCATACAATTTTGATGAAACACACTAGTGAAAACATCATGAGGATTATTTTATATTAAATTCGTGCCAATAGATCCCTTTCATCAAAATCTTACACACTGCACCTTTAAGCATCAAGCTCTTTAATGTGTTACAGGTTTCAGTGACTCTGACACTTTACCTTTGGATCTACTGAAGCCCCAGAATGCTGATAAAATCCTCATTAAGATTGCTGACCTGGGCAATGCCTGCTGGGTGGTGAGTTATTCATTTTTAGATTAGATTAGATTCAACTTTATTGTCATTGTACAGAGTACAGGTACTGAGACAACGAAATGCAGTTTAGCATCTAACCAGAGTGCAAAATAGCAATAAAAGTGCAGAGTCTGTGCATATGTAAAGTGGAATAATTGAATAAATAAGATATATACAGTAAGAGTTGGGTGTGAAAAAAAAGAACATAATTGGGACTAGCAGCAATTGAGGTAGGTAAGTACGGTTAAGACGGTAAAACAGTAACAGCAAAATAGTATTTTAAGTACAGGTAAAAAAAGACATTTTTGTGCAAATGAGCAATGTGCAAATGTTCAGTGGTTGTCACTTGTGTGGGGGTGAGGGTGGGGGGGTACAGTGCAAATGATTAGTGGCTGGAGAGGTGTGCGGCAGTCAGCAAGGGGGGGAGTGGGAGATATAGTCTCAGGGGTGGGGGGGGGGCTATCTCCGTGGGGCAGAGTTCAGTAGGGTGACAGCCACAGGGATGAAGCTGTTCTTGAGCCTGCTGGTACYGGAACGGAGGACCCTGTAGCGCCTCCCAGATGGGAGGAGAGCAAACAGTCTGTGGCTGGGGTYTGAGCTGTCCTTGGTGATGCTGCGTGCCCTCCGCAGACKTCTCTTGCTCTGGACAGCCTCYATGGTSGGAAGAGTGGAACCGGTGATGCGTTGGGCAGTTTTCACCACCCTCTGCAGTCTTTTGCGGTCGGCGACAGAGCAGCTGCTATACCATGTTGTGATGCAGTTGGTGAGAATGCTCTCAATGGTACAGCGGTAGAAATTCTCCAGAATCTGAGGAGACAGATGGGCCTTCTTCAGTCTCCTCAGGAAAAAGAGACYCTGGTGTGCCTTCTTGACTATAGATGAGGTGTTAAGGGTCCAAGAGAGATCCTCAGAGATGTGGACACCCAGGAACTTGAAGCTGGCAACACGCTCCACCTCCATCCCGTTGATATGGATGGGGGTGTGTGCGTCATCTTTCTTCCTGAAGTCCACAATAAGCTCTTTGGTCTTCATGGTGTTGAGGGCCAGGTTGTTGTCAGCGCACCACAYCGCCAGATGCTGGACCTCTTCTCTGTAGGCCGACTCATCGTTGTCGCTGATGAGGCCAATCACCGTTGTTATTTGACAAGAATAATACCTTTGAAAAACTATTCAATTAGAATGGCACTCAGTAGAGTGCATTCCTTCACCCCCTTTGTATTTAAATTCAGTATATCTGGATTTTTATTTGGATTGGCTCCAAATTACACACCCTCATACATATAACTTCCCAATACGTGATTATTTTTGTTAAAGAGCTCTTGAATCGGCCTCTGATCCAGATCTGCATCCAAAAGGTAAAGGGTTCTTTCCTGACTAATACAACATCCTTCCACCAAGTTTGGTGTTAATACATCCAGTCGTTTTTGCGTAACCCTGGTAACTAAGAGACAGATAAACAAAAACAGATGAAGACATAACCTCTTTGGGGCGGGTAATTAAACAATTTTCCTCTCAAACTAGAGAGCTGCCAGTAAGTGATAACACTTTGTCCTCCATAATTCATGATTAAGTCTGACAATAGAACATTTTTTCATTTACCATCATCTTCGTTGTGCCACCCAATGCACATAGTGAGAACCCTGCTGACTGGCTTAGAGTCTCATGTCAGACTCAGACTTATGTGCATTCATATTTGTCATACCATCATTTTTTGCTTATGTCAACTAAATGCAGCACTGCAGACTTGATTTATGATTTATGTAAAAAAGAACACTACAAGAGTTTGGCAAGCACATATAGCAGGTAAATAAAACTAACTGACAATGTTGCCTCTGATGAGATATGTGCGAAGAGAGA